ACTAGCCGATCCGACATCCACCCGAAGCAACCTAACACCACTAGCTTACTCCGGAATAGCCGTCGGCCTTCCCCAAGCTCAGGCCGAGAAAGGGAAGAAAGGGGCTAGTGACTCCCCTGCTTGACCGCACCGAATCTGCCCGAACGAAGCACCTCCAAACAAAACCAGCCCGCGAGGAAGGCCCAGACCCACCACCCCCTCGAATCGAAGAACCGGCGACCAAACCCCAGCGGAAATCGGAAGACCACCGAAAGCAACCCTCCAAAATTGGCTGAGTAAGAGCGCCCCGACCAAAGCCAACACGAGCAGCACAAGCATCATCCACGCCCGACCACACCCCGTCATGCCCCGAAGCCACTGGATTCTGGCGACCTTCGGGCTGAGAACGATTCCGCCGAAACCCTAGCCCTAACCCAGTGACGACCAGACAGAGGACGGGGCGCCGCGGCATGGACAAGCGGAAGAGCACATCCGCCGACGATGACGGACAGCGGCTGAGGGGGGAGGATTATCTGCAAGAGATTGACGACGAGAGAGAGGGATTTGGGGGAGGCGATGAGAGAGAGAGAGAGAGCAGTTTACAACGCACCAAAATAACTATGTTTAATCGTACTAACTTAATAAATAATTTAAAATATTAATAAAAGTTTTGGAAATGTAGTCCAATTAACTATTAAAAGGTACATATCTATTGAATATATAGTTTTAAACATATATAATATTTTATATGATAAAAATTATATGTAAAACTTTGTTAATCATATATTTGGCCAATTTATAGCATTTAGATACTTAAAGTAATTAATATATAATAATTTATATATTTATTATATTTAAATATGCATTTTTATTTAATTTACATTAAAAGTATTTTTAAATTTATTAAAAAAAAAACTAGACCAGTTCAAATTGGTCCAATCGGCCGGTTCTGGCTGGTTCTGATCAGTTCATTCCAGTGAACCTGAACGGTTCCCGGTCCTACAGCTCAGACCGGCCGAAGACAAAATTGTTTCAAGCACCGAGAGAGCCGGAAGCGCCCCTTCTTTCAAAGAGAGGTGGCGAGACGAGCCGTTTATCATTACGATAGGTTCTGGTTTTCTAAAATCGTGCGTATAACAATGGTTCATACATACACCCCATGGTATCTAAATCGTGCTTATAACAATGGTCATACTTCATACATACACCCCATGGTTGTCCAATTTCAGTGTGTGTTGCTTTTGAAGGCAAAATAGAATTTGGCCTAAAAAGGTATTTGTTCATACAAACAAATGACTTACTCAAGCTTAAAAGTTCCTTTATTGTGTCTGATGATCTATTTTGACTTGTGTTAATGAAGTCTACATAACCTCAGTGTAATAACATTACAATGCAAACATACACTTTAAAAGCTACTTCTCCTTGTCAACCTTCAAGAAAAGACAGTAAGCAATCATGCCAACTACAGGTACAAACCTAAGAAATTTAACTAAATCGATTTTATCCTTCTCCAGGTTTTGCAAGTTATCGCCAATCAACCATGGCTGGAAAACTACGTACAGGCAGATGTCCCAAACGAAAGCATAAGCAAGCCTCTCGGACCCAAGATAGCCCAACAAGAAATCCCATCTCGCTCGTAAATCACCAAAATCTCCATCCGCACGACCATATAAGGCCCACAATATCGAGACCAAACATACAAGCCCACTAATCAGCCCAACTGCAGCTGCCCCTTTCGTCATAACTGAACCAAGCTGAGAGGTGTTTTTTGGTGTGTTTTCCGTATCAGCCTTGTTCAGACGTAAAGCCATGTAAGGGATTAAGAATGCTGTAATAAAAAAATAAAAGACCAGCATTTAATAACCATAAAATTATTATACAGAATGCCTGTTGCCCAGATAAATTTAAAGAAATCATAATGTATATTTGCTGAAACGAATTTCAATCTTTTTCACAATATTAAGTGCTGTTATACACTATAGGTAACTGAAACAAGCATTTTTGACTCAGAAGTAGGATTATCTACCAAAAAAAAAAATGCCCCTAGGGCTAGCCTAATTCCAAGGGGGTGCTTGTAACACTTCTCCAAGTCTAAGACTTTTTCTATTCTGTAATTAGGCAAAACTTAGGTGGTAGATTTTGTAATCGTTCATGAAAAGTACGGGTCAAAAATATTAACATACTGTTTGTGAGGAACATCTGAAAGCCCCAAAGAACATCAAGTGATCCCTTGAATCTGTCTCTCCTTTTATCAGTGTAAAGCAGAGGAGCAAACATGACTGTCCACCCAATTACAAAGTTGAACAAACCTTCGGACATCTGAGTAAACAAACATATGGATAATATATTGGAAATCAGTCCACGACATGAACGTAAAGCAGTATGAAAGATCGAATTCATTAAAACGCTTGCAGTAAAAAGCCTTTACCGGATGAAGCACCGGTGCCTCAATTAAATGAAAACCGGCTATTCTGCCATAATTTCAAAGCAAAATCGATCAAGATATTTAAAATAATAACACGAACAAGCACATGCCTAAAAAATGCCTTTAATTACAATATTATTTATTTATTTTTTTGGGTCGACAATGCAAATTTATAAAATAAATACGTAACAGAGATGACTTTTATGTAAAGATCAGATTCCCCACTTTTGAAATTGGTTTTTTAATTTGTTACATATGTATCAACAGAGAGATTCAAAATAAGTAATGGCAAAAGAATTTTACAACGAACTTGAAGAATAATATTACCAATGTTTGTCAAAGGCAGTATGAAGAAGAAATTGAGAGAGAGGCCGATCAATGCATTAATTGTTTCTGAACTAATGGCCCAAACAGGATCTCCCTGCAAGGTGTGCACGGGTCATTTAAGATTTAAAGTTGGCAGAAAAAATCACTTCAAGTATTGGAATAATACAAAAGTCATCAACATCAACTTCAAACACTCTTCACTTCATCCATTGACAGTAAAACATTTCAGAATCATAAGAAGCAAAGTTCCATCTTATATAATCATCAAGGAGGTACTTTAGTAACAACATCCTAGAAAAGACGCAGCAAACACTCGACCAAAAGTGGTAATTATCTGATGAATCGTCAATGATAGTTAAAAACTGTGCATATAACATAATCGCCAATTCAACAAGAAAAATGATACATAGGCAACCTAGTGTACAACTAGGTTGACAACACAAGTGGAAAACATCCACTTGCGTATTTTTTATTTTTAATTTTTATGGATGTTTTTATTTTTGTCCATTGCAAATGGAGCTGGAAGAGTCATTGTTGACAATTCTCCTAGCATAGTGCTAATAATGGACTAGATCAAATGGCTCAATTAAATTCTAGTGCTTCTTCTATTAGTGAAGTTTCTAGAAAAAAAATATATCAAACGACGCAATGCACCTTGAGTCGCTACGGAAACAGCCTTCTTGTATAATTACAAGGGTAAGGTCTGCGTACAACTGACCCCCAGACCCCAACCAGTTGGGAATATATTGGGTATGATGGATGTTTTTATTTTTGTTGTCAACCTAGTTGTACGTACACTAGGTTAGTAGGTTGGCAATATAGCATTTCTCATTTAACAAATTTGCTATCTAAACCGAAATATCATTTATAAGGCACTTCAAAAAATGCTTCTAAAATATTTTCGAAGCACGAAGGATACAA